TCCTTAAACTTCTATTGTTTTCCTACAGCATCAATTAAGTAAAACTACTGACTTATGTTTCTATATTTTCAAAATTTTAGTAATGTGTAACGCGACTTATTTGATTTATAATAAAACAGAAACTAAACAGTAAAAATCACATATTCATTATGTCTACATCAAAATATGTAATATGATTAATAAATATCGATATATAATATAGAACAATACAAAAACAATACCAAATATGACAGAATGATATTATATAGGATATACTAGAAACTGTCAATATTTTCAGTTATATATCTGATGTTCACTGTTCTTTACATTCTTGCGTCACGTTTTCTAAGTAATTTAATGGCTCTCGCTTTCGTTTTTGCTGGAACCATAATCACATTTGCAAATCCATATTATTCAAGCTATCCAGTATACGATTTCTACTGCGTGCTAAGTTTTGAGCTGCCGCTTTCACGAGCTGTTCCGGGTGCATTTTCAGATTCTGCTCATGATGACAACAGCGACAACGTCGATAATGGCAATATTCTGAACCAATTTTAATAAGACACATGGTGCAAGGTGCGTGTTGTTAGAAATACTCGATTATTGTTCTAAAAATACTAGTTCTTATTTGTATCCTCTGCTATTTAAAGCGACCTGCATCGTTAAAAGTAACCTTAAGCAAACTATCATTTTGAAGTTTTGTTTTCTAATTTGCTAAGACCTAAATATGGAATATATACTTCATAATCCCTCCGGCGTTTTTCTGGTAATAATACCACTGCCCTGTGCGTTCGTAATTCTTCTCTTTCTTTTTTCTGAATGTAATATAATAAAAAGCTATTCATTTATCGGAATGTAATGTCATCAGAAAAATATTTTTATAGGAATGCAATGCGATCTTTTATACAATATGTTCCACGACATTTGAGATCAATCAGAGATAAATATATTGTGCCCTGTATTAAAATATCAAAATGGTTTTATTTGGAATTACGCGCACATAACGAATTGATTATATAACGAACAGTGAAAGACTACTATCTAACTAGCCTGAGCACGTTCGACCCTTAGTGGGTATTATTCAAAGGCGTATACAAATCATAAACAAGATAAGCAAATAAAATAGAAAAAAAACCGTAGTGTTTGCGAAAGTTTACATGGCTGTTTCTACATAAATTAAACCTCTAAATGTATTATGTTTCAACTAGTTTATAGCAATTTGTTGCGGATACTGGAAAATATTTATATTAACCTATAAATCGATGAGCCTTAACGACATACGTAATTTTGTGTACATTTATGTAAGCGCAAATTATATCCCAGGCATTTCATTGTTATAGAAGTCATTGAAGACTATTGATCAAATTTAGAGAATTCGTTAGAGAAAATTATCGGCTTCAAACGATAGTTGTATTTGTACATGGCTGTCTTCTTCTGCCATACCTTCCTATCAGAATATCACTCTGCTTCGCGAGTACCAAAATTGATCTTTAAAAATTCAGAAAACCTCCATCTCCGAAACACCTCCTTGGCAACTCCAACAACGAAAAGTACCTTTTACGTTACACGATGCAAATAAATCGTTACAATCCCCTCCATAATCCACAACTCTCGTCATGAAGTCCTCCTCCAATTTGAAAACTACACAAAATATTTATACTGATGGATCAATAGATGAGGAAAAGGCTGTTGCAGCCTTTGTTAGTTGAAAATACACAGCAAAAGTTTGCTTACCAAATGGTACTTCAATTTTTTTCAGCGGAAATCAGAGCAATAGACCTTGCACTGTCTTATATTGAAAACAAAAGTATTTTAAACAGCAGCATCTTCTCGGACTCAATATTTTCCTCAAAAATATTAAGCTCAGTACAACGCGCAATATAGTATACTGTTGATTACCCAGACATATTGGCATTAAAGGTCATGAAAAAGCAGACCGCGCTGCCAAAACGGTCCTATCCCTAAAACCATCTGATTTCAAAATACCGTATACTGATTTTAAACCTAGTATCCAAGAATATTTGCGTCAGAAATGGTAGGCATCATTGAATGATGCCGTGAATAATAAACTTCATGCCATCAATCTAACCCTAAGAGAATATACTCCTTCTTACAGAAACATCCGTAGGAAGGAGGTAGTCATTGCAAGAATTCGAATTGGTCATACGTATATTACCTACTCGCACATACTAAAAGGAGAAGAGACACCAGAGTGCATTTATTGCAATGAGCCATTCACTGTTAAACACTTTATGTTGGAGTGTTTCGACATCCAACCAACGCGCGATTAGTATACAATGTGAATGATATTATGGAGCACTTTGATACAGACAGCGTGGCTTGTATTATAGACTTCCTGAAGGAAGTAAACATTTATTACAAGCTATTTCTTTTATGTTATTACCTTGAGCAATTTGCCTCCATTAACATACACCATTTACAGTCCCAGTTGAACGGGATAATTTATATTTTACCGTTGCCATCGTTTCGTTTTACTTTCAACATTTGAGTTTGTATCGCTGGTTGATATAACCTTTAATAAGGCGCTAAAAATCATAATAGTGATGGTGAGCCGAAACAATATAATCAACCAACCAACCAATATAAATTCATTTCATCAACATATGTGCCTAAGGGTGCTTTGTCCGTCATTTGTTTTTGTTATACTGTTGTAATACTTTCGAACTGGATTAGAAAACAACATCATATTTGTTTTCTTTCATTTGCTTCCATACAACTAGTTGCGTTTTCCAGTTTTTTCCGTACTACTAGATTGTGTTTTAACCAGCTGGATCCGTGCCACTGGATTTTATGTTTACCTTCTGTTTCCCAATCGGTTGCGACCACTAGATTTTATGATTATTTTTGATTCCATATCACTGACCTGTGTGTATTTACCAGGTGGCTCCGTACCACCTGATTTTGGGATTACTACTTGATTCCGTATCACTGGATTGTGTCTGCCATCTGGTTCCGTATCGCTGGTTTTTATAATTGCCAGTTGATTCTGTATCACTGGCTTGTGTATTTACCATTTGGGTCAGTACCACTGGAATTTATAATTACCAGCTGATGCCGTATCAATGGCTAGTATTTTTACCAATTGGTTTAGGATCGCTGGTTTATATGATTACGAGTTGATTACGTATCTCTGGATTGTTTGCTTACCAATTGTTTCCGTACCACTACTTTTATAGCTATAAGCTAATTCCGTATCTCTGGCCTGTTTATTTACCAGTTGATTCCGTACCACTGGATATTATTACCAGTAAAGTCCGTGTCAGTGGCCTGTGTGTTAACCAGTTGATTCCGTACGTTTTACGTTTGCTACAAGTTTCATGTTTTACGTGTTTGCGTTCCGCACATCACTACCTGACACTTGATTAGTCATTCATGCTTTCTGCTTCCACCTTTTCACTTCTTGTCGAGAGGTTATGTGTTGCCCAGATCGGTTAGGCTCACTGACCTGTAATTGTTCTGTTGGTACTAGATTTTATGTTGAATTTCGTACCTCAAAACTATGCCCCATAATTTTAATGGTCAAATTAATTATTTTTTCATTTCCTTAATATTATCGAGATGGTGCCTCATCTCACTACAATGAATATTGATGTTCATAATATTACAGAAAAGGTTATGCATTTGCAACTTAGTGATAAAATTTGTAAGCTCAGCAGCCACTCCCTCCACTCTAACCCCTGATAAAATTATGGCAAACACATGGAGGGCTCATACATTGATTTTCTACCCTCTTTAATAATGCGTAGGATATCGATTTCAGATTTTAGTTAGATGCACACAGTACTGGTCCTGAACTTAGCATTGTCCCAAACATTGGGAACGTCTGACTTACAACAGGACAGAGTATTCTCGCTTGGAGCAGGCTGATTAGTGTCCTATGTGAAAAATGCTCCTTCATTAGTACCTCTCTTCCCTATCACATGGAAACTATCCTTAAACTTGAGGAGATTCGCCCTGATTATATGTATTATGAGGAAAACATTCGACAATTGGTTGCAAAGGGGTAAGCTAACTGATGTATCACGAATCTAAATCTCTACATGCAAGCTGTGCTAGAGTCAAGTCATAACAACTACACACAAAACCATCCATCACAAATTGCAAACATTCAGTATCCGAATGGAGTTTATTTTAGTTACAACAATATTGGTTGCAGTTCATCGTGATATTTATGAAATTTTCATCACAAATGCTTCAATTGTTTAGGGGTACTCTTTTGTTCGCTTTCCCAAACCAGATTTTTCGTTTTCAACGATCCAAACAAACTCTAAAAACTAAGCCGAACAAGAAACCTTCCGGCAAATAGTGCTGATCCAATGCCTACCCCAGTCAGAATTGGCCGTTTGGAATATTGGCTAAACGATTTTATCATGCAACAAAGGAATACATGCTTTTAGGTTTTCAAAAGGGTTTCGATATGGGGTTTTAAGGGGACATTGCAAACACACATATGTAAGAATCTGAAATCGGTTCAACCTAATGCTCAGATTGCGTAGGAAAAGATGCAGAGTTAACAGTGGGTCGCTTTTCACAGCTCTTTCGTGCAAAACATTTTCCCAATTTACTCATTTTGCCCCTGGTCTAGTCGAAAAAAGTCTTTGGTCTTTCAGACTAATTCATCACTTTTCGTTCCAATTGGGCTATTAGGTGAACAGTGTAATTCCAGTTTAACAATCGGAAGTACACTACGAAGGCCCTGATAATGCCATCACATTTATAAAACAGCTGTCCGTATTCTTCCGAATTGTCCCATGCAATACCATTATTTTGCCTTTTTGTGACTGAACAGGAAGATCACGTATCTTGGATACGGATTGATTTCATTGAGAATGGACGGTTCGCCTTCCCATGGACAAACTAGTAAAATATAGCAAACTCTTACATTGATATCTGACTCGAAATAAAATTACTCTCAATGAGTTCCAATCCATAATAGGTAATAATAACTTTGCTTCCACAGTAGTATTGCTGGACGAGCTTTTCTCAGGCCACACAAAACCGCTCCGATGGCCTAGTAGTAGAGCATCCGCCTCAGATGCGGGAGGTCGTGGGTTCGATCCCCGGTCAATTCATACCAAAGACTTTAAAACATGGTACATACAGCTACCTCGCTTGGCGCTCAGCATTAAGAGGTTAGTGTTAGGACTGGCTAGCCTGGTGTCAGGATAATGTAACTGGGTGGGACAGCATGCTACATGTCTGCGGCATGATGCCCCAGTGCTAGACATCATTATAAACTGCCACACTGCAGATGTCGTAGCGATATGGCATGAACAATTATTAAACCAACCTTAAAAATCTAAATCAAGCATCACACTCACTCGAGGGTGAGAATGCGGATTGGGTCGTGTTTTTATTTGCGTATTGACACATACTTAAGTTCTGTAAATTCGCTGCTACTCATGATCACGTGCCCTTCGTTTAGTATGTTGAGTTTTTGTCATTGTGTGCACGGGTACACAGCAAAACGTGACTGAATAATTTTAATTTTAATTTTATTGTTAATTGAATTAAATCGATTTTGTTTTTTTTAAAGCAGATGCAAAGCAATGATTTCGAATTATAATATACTATTTATTATTAGATCTTGTATATTTCTCTGTCTTTGCCCTGTCTAACCGTCAATATTTTATTCATATAAGTTAATTATCATCAGCAAATATTCGAGGATCTTTTTTCTTCACCCAGTTTAATACCTGTAGAAGTCCATAGCATGAACAATTTTAGTCTCAAGCTCTGATATGACACTAAATGTTCCGATCATTCAACAATCATGGCTAAATTGATATGGCTAAGATAAGCCTACACAATCACGTTCACATACTCTTTATCTAACTCCTAGAGTAAAGGTTGACAAAAATAATTAAAACAATCGATTTCTTTTACTTTATTTTTCAGTGATCCATATCAATAATTGTTTTGCTATTTATTGTTCAATAGCAACATTTTTTTCGAAGGCATACAGGATTAAATATAAGGTCGACGTTGCTGCGTACCGTCTCCATAGTGGGTTGAGAATTTTACACACTGGTTTTCTAATGAAATATGCAATGGCCAAATTTGCAAATTGCCCGACTTTTTATGAGCCGAGACCTATAGTCTATATAGAGAAGATGACTCGATGATACGCTTAAATATGCACACATAGACCTCACATTCATTATCATTCTTTTTCTCTATCTTCACCACAACTAATGTTTGAAACAATCTAGATAGGATGTATTTACTCTGAAATCCCACGATTAGATTTGGTAATTCTGGTAATTGATTGAGTTATCATTGTTAAATGACTTTATATTTACAAAGCACAATTATAATTATCGATTCGTTAGAAAGTATTCTTCCATTATATTTTGCTAGTGGTTTTCCAAAGTAATTTTTTTAAAATTCGGCCATAGATTGTATTGTCTAGTACTTGTATAATTTAAACGATGTTTATACAATTTTGTGGTTTGTATTTTTCTTTTCTTTTCAAATTGAGTCTCTATACTACCATTGTGTTTGATAAAGGTATATTTTATACATTTCCGTTTAGGTGATGACAATCAAGAAGCCATATGCATTGACCTTGGACTAATGTCTCATTACCAATAAAGTAACAATACCATATGCTTGTTATCGCGATCCATTAGGTCTCATCTGGTTTCAGTGTTATTGCTTTCTTAGGTGTAACCCTTTTTGTTGTCTTTGTTATAGGGTTTTAACGCCCTTTTCAGCACAATATAGGCTATACATGTCGGGTAGTATAGGTGCTGGAGGAAGAACCAGGAAAAACCCAGGAAAGAAACACCGACCCACGAGAAGCTACTGGAAAGCTTTCTCGCGTACCCACATTGGCCGAGCCTGAGACTCGAACCCGCACAGAGGCGAGATGGCAGTGATCCGTAACGGCGAGCGCTTCAGACCACTTGGAAACTCGGGGCCCCATACTTAACCCTTTAATATCGACACTATATTAATGGTGCAAACGTGATAAGAATAATCGCTTTGTAGATTGGTCTTGGACAAACTTCAGATCTATTCAGGTAGTTCATGATAAACAATTAATTTTTCAATGTCTTGAAAATTTGAAAATTAATGTCTTCCATCTTCTGGTGGATATCTGAATGGGGGATAGTTTTCACGCCTGTGATTGTGAAAGTGAGGGTGTTGAACGAAACATTTGATGCTGCTTGGAGTGTATGTGTTTAAAAATGTGTCTATGTCATAATTTGTGAGTTGTTAACTAGAAATAGGATATAATGCATTAGCTATATATCCTCAAATCAGAACGTGATGTAAGGTACAATTTTGGTCTATAATTGGGTCACTTTTCAACAGGGGTATCAATAATGTTTAATGTTGACATCATATCGTGAAAGAGGAAGTTTTAAAGTTTAAAAATAAATTTTAGAGTGATTCTATTTATTTAATAAAACCTCAAAAGTAAGCAGGATCGCCAAAATAAAGGAACTTGGACAAATATAAAATAGCTACAACAAATTTAGTTTATATATACTTCTACCAAGTTTATATGGAAATGTGTAAGAGTAAATATTTTAAACATATTAACGCGAATTTTTTATTGACTCATCAACTGATAAGCTATCCATAAATAAAAAAGAATAGCAATTTTGACTGGAAAGCCTAAAAAATAATTTTGGTGGTATAAAATTTGTGCAAAATCAAAAGAACGTTAAAAATGCTACAACATCTTGAGTAAAACTTTAGCGGCGCTGTCGCCAAACAGGTTAGTGCCGATGTCCATCGTTCCGTTTCCGTTCTGATTTAAAGGATCTTGTCTGCAGATTATTTAAGACTTCGAAATAAACCTGCTGGTAAGATTTCTACTGCTTTTACAGATATGTTCAATTCTACACGAAGGATATGTAGACTCCAAGGTCGCAAACTATCTTTTCCAGATCATACAACATTTATGGTATAAATGGTGAAAACTAAAACAAGCATAAAAACTAGGACAAACATACAAACTAACTGGGTCACAAGAAAAGAAGTATGACTGAACCTCTAAATAGGTATCTTTTGTCAGACATTTGCTTTTTTTCTTAATGATGCGCAGCTTTTAGTTTGATGCACTGTTTTTATTTGCTGCACTTCAAACATTAACATTTTAGACATTATCATTTTCAGTTTCTTATCTGTAAATGTAATGTATCTCTATTTTTACTTTCATGAGCAGATTGTATACTTCGGTCGTGATGCAGACTTTCCTTTATATATCAAAGATTCAATACAAGTTAGACTACAAAGCCTTATACTTTAGCTGTCTGGAGTTTAATTTAAAATCAGAGCCTGCCATATGTCCATTACTTCTTTCTTTGTCATCAAAATGGTATCATATTGCAACCGTGGTTAAAATAACTTTCATGATAGAATGGAGTTCATTAGACTTCATAGATCTTTTACCAGATCCTTATATACCATTGAATTTGCTTTCCTGTGCGAAAATTATTTTGTCTTCATATTAGTTTGCCTGTCATGCAAACTGAAATTAAATTCACTTTCGCGTGTTGATAGTTTATGTACGTAACATTTATGCGGCGATTGATAGACAGGGAAGGACAACTAGGACGAAATTCTGGGGTTCCACAACGGTCAGGCCCACCTGCTAAGAGAAGAATATTTTGCAATTCATTTGGGCCTACTGGATAATTTTACCTAGGTCCCATAAATCCACTCCGCGGTCCTGACAGATTGCCTGAATATGGATCAAAGATTTTACGAAGGCCAGGAAAAGTCGACAAGTTAGCGGACTGATGCTATACATACGCGATGCTATCTGAAGGTGCGAGTAAACCAACCACACTGGCTGATTACCTCTTTGCCACTATTATTTTATGCTTTGAGTTGGAAAACATAAGAATAAAAGAAAATATTAAAAAGTGAATTTTTATATATAAAAAGACCGAATATTAGGCATAGTTACAGTATTGCTTTTAAAATGACAATCTAAAACGTTTATTTAGTTCTGCATATGTATGGTGTGCTTAATCTAATTTTTTTGCATTGTATTTGATTTAAATCAGCATTGACTGAAACTGTAACCCTACAACACAAAGTATCCAACCACTGTACTTAAAGAGCCAAAAGGGAAACTAAAACCTTACAAACACAAGTTATCCAACTGCTGTACTTCAAGAGCCAAAGTGGAAAATGAAACACTACAAATATAAAGTATCCAACCACTGTACTTTTCAGTCTTTAGTTAGTTTATACGTTTATCAAAGACGATATTCAATGCACGTAATAAGGTTTTACATAGCACATGATCAAAGTTAGAGTAGCTTCGTATCTTAAGAAAAAATGACAAGTCTGGGCAATCTGTCCCCATTTAGGAAGCATTTACAATCTAGTAATCAAAGGTCGATGTATTCTCAGTGTGAAGCTATTTCAATTGACTAACTAGCAAGCTAACTACCTAATTAACCAATCAATCATCCAAGCAACGTTCTGTCTCTACGGCAGGTTGACTGACTGGTTTGTTGACTCATTGACTACTATTGTAAATAAGCAAGCAATTTGTTAACATACACAATACTAAATATAATGCAAAAATTTAATTTTACCACCACAACCAAACTATTAAGACTTTTTGTTTTTGCCGCTGCAATTTCTACTACGACTGCTACCTACTGTTTTCATTATCACATTTCCCCTCTTAGAACAACTATTACCACCACCTCTCGAAATATGATCCGTTCTTTTTAACCTCAAGGGAATTATTATGGAGAAAGTCAGTCCTACAAGATTTTTATGGACATGAGTAATCATCGTTTTATCTGTTCTTCTCAATCATTTGGTTCAATTTATAGCGTACAATTTCATGCCGTCGTAAAAGAACGTGTGCAACTTTTCGTTTGGTTGGCTGCCGGACATATTGCTCAGAATGGTTCCCCGCGCTTTTCAGGTCATTTAACAGTATCACTAATAAACTTAACTTTTACGCTGCCCAGTCATACAAAAACAAAAACCACTGGTACACAAGATTTCAAATACCTTCAGTGAAAGTGAAGAAAGGGGCTCATTTTAATTAGAGAATGATTTCAGTTGGACAATTTGCACGATCGCGGCA